CTGCTGAAGGGTGGCACTAATCCTTCTTATTGTATGTCAAAAAAACTCCCGTTCGTTTGGTATTAAGGAATTATCATACATTTCTATTCTAAAAATGCTATACTAGGATAACAGAAATGGAAGTTCTTCATATCAAATTCTCCCTGATACCAATTTTCCGTAATTTAAAAACTGATAAAAAAAAACGCACAGACATTAAGAACATTTCGCTCCTAAAAAATGGTATGGCGATCGCCGATCGTAAGCACAAGGTGAAAATTATCGAGGAAAACCTTTTAAGAATCCTGTATCAGGATAAACAGATTCTACAACATTATGACAATTAGAGGTTAAGTTCCTCCGGATACGCACTTTACTTCTAAAAGCATCTCACGACCCAAGAAAGTGTAAAATATTTCTTGAAGAGACCTTTTTCAAGGAATTCTGGTCTCCTAATACAATTTCTCTTCTAAAATATGACGATGAAGATTACAGAAGGTGGCATCAAGCCGGTTGAACAATCTCCCTCTGGCCATCTGTTGCGTTTTTGATACAACGGTCTCTGCAAACCAGGATAACAGAAACGCTCTTCCTCTAAAAAACTGCTGTGAAAGAATCAGAAAAACGCAAAGACAGTGTAAGATTTATTGGCAGCCAAAGTTTCTGCACGTTGTGTTCCCTGATACAGAATCCTAATTTAAAAAAATGTGTGAGGTTGCAGGGGCTCAGATGTAAAATTGACGACTATTTGTAACAGGACCGCACCGGCGATTTCTGATCCACTAAACCATTTCCCAGTGTTTTAGCTACATTTGACACTCAACAAAATTTGATGATTCAGTTTTTCAATCGGAGACTTATCGTGCGCACAGAGAATTTCCAGAAGGACAACGTGATGCAGTTTTTTTTTATATACAGGAAGACTCGTTGAATGTGAAAACGAAGGACTTTCGGGGAAACTAATTTCGCGATCTTAGGAGAGGGGGAGGGCCTGAAATATATATGTTTTAATTAATTATAAGGAAGAGCAAGCTGAATGCAAAAAACTAGAATAGTTGGGGGGGGGGGGGGGGAATTTTTTTAATTTTTTTAATTATTTTTTAACAAAGAAAGAAAGACTATCGTTTGCGTGCGTTTAATGATAAGTTTCAAACGGGAAAAAATTATCAAACCCACTATCGCCCTCCATCCCGACACTATTATAGAGATCAGTTGCAACTGCTACACTCCGTTCTCGAGATAGAAGGAATTGAAATTTCTCATATCGGACGAAAGTACACGCAAAAGATACAAGAAACGTCTGGGCCAGACATATCTATTGGTAGGGTTTAGTCTGGAGAACAGAGGAAGGAAGAAGAAAATAGGAGTAATTCTGGGCATAGCGTTCTAGAAAGCATTTTTCCTTTAAGTTATGGGAAAGTATAAAAACACGTAACACAAAAGTTGACAAAAAAAGGATACTCAGTGAAAGTACGACTGAAAACTGGTTTCCAGGACATTATCGAATATAGATTGTAACGGGATTGATTTTTTCGAATTTTCGTTAGGGTAGCTTAGTTTTAGGGCGTTAGATTTTACGAAAACACTGGTTTCCGTGTGCATCATGACCGGTTACTGGATTAGGGAAGTTACTGGCGACCGTCTGTCAGGCGTTAGCTAGCGATAATACAATATTAATAAGTTTTACGTGATCATGCACTGGAAAGCACTGAATTAGCAGAATAAAAAACCGCCGTGGGTTTGATTTATTGCCCTAGCGTGCACGTAATTTGTTGAGTAAAACGAATAAGGTAAGCTAACGGTTAAAGATGGTCGCGTTAATTAATTAGCACCATTTTGTAGGCGCTTTTATCGAATTCAAAAAAGTAAGGATGCATCCGAGCCGATGCATTCAGCTATGGAAAGTTCGAAAGTACGAATAACTCTCGTATGGGCTGTCCCGAAAATTAGACGATTAGAAGAGATTCGTAAATTCAGTGTCGAAATAAGGAGAGTTTTAGTGCGCAAAACGTCAGTTAAATCGATTCACCGGAAAAAAATACACCCATTGGGTGACTTAGCGCGTGGAAACCGTAACCATTTTGATTCAAGAGAGAACTGTTTGATTTCCAACGAGAGATTTTAAATCAAGGTTGGTCCGTGCTACAAGAATAACGCCCTGTATATGTATATTTGATGTATTTGTCCCTTTATATGTATGTATGTACTGTAAAATTACTCCGCTAGACGTCGCGCGCCCTAATTTCCAAGAGAATTCTTCAGATCAGCTCTCTTCCTATAATAATTGTTCCTTATCTGTCTGGTCCGGCTATAAAAGAGCGAATTATAAACCAACAAAGGACCTTTTGCCTGATAATTTTTCCTGAATCTTGTAACGATGGACCAAACCTGTTTAATCGTAATGGGCCGCGCTAGCAGCAAAAAAGAAGAAAAAAAGTCACTCAAAATGGACGTAAGATTGGTTGCTAAAACGCAGTACATAAGTCATTTCAGATCTGTTATCAGAAATGAGGTTGGAATCGGGCGATATAGAATTCAATTTAAATTAAACCACGGTCTCCTTCCACTACGTACCAGAGTTTAAATTCAATACCGAATTTCCATTTCCTTGAATCATAATTAGAAGATCACTTTTTTCCAAGGTTGGACGACTCGATGCTAGTTTTAGACGTCGTATAAATAAGGTAATGTGTATTTTTAGATTTATATTCAATACGGATCGTGTCCTTTAAGAAATATGACGAGTGAAAGTTGGAGTGTTTAACCGGAAATTAGAAAAAATAGTGTTGAACGACTCGATCTAACCATTTTGTGCCTGTTTTATTTTTTGTAAAAGAAATGTTCCAGAGTTAACTAAATTTTTAGCAGGAACTCGGTTTGAAGAAGGTAAAATAAAAAGTTTTCCATTCATATATTTCAATGAATATAAAATTGAAGGGGGGGGGGGGGGGTCTGTAGAAAAATTTCGAATTGATTGATTTAAATTTTAATAGACGTCAATATTTTGGTTTTTGTGTATTTATTTGCCATGAAATAAGGTGGTCGTGGCGGAGGAGGCCATTTTGAAATTTTGGGGTTAAGAAGCCGTCCAAATTTTGTTTACTAAGAGAATTTGATCAAGATAATTGTAGTAATTAAGTTGAGCTGGCCGTCGACACATTTTGTGCCTAAAATCTAAGGTTACCGTAAACAGTCAACATTCAAATAAAACGATTGGGATTGCCCCACCCCGTACAAGACGTCATTAAAATTTCGTTATATCCAGACTGCACAAAAAAACCGACCGATTTTGGAGATTTTTCTTTTATTTGTCAATCTTTAATATCGTATTGTTAAAAAATTCGAGTATACCGAGGCTAAAGAGCTTCATCTAATTATTACGCCTCTCAGGCAGCGAACTACTCAGATTACGATCTTTTTAGGGGTGGGGGTGGGGGCTAACGAGTTTGCTTAACCTTCTCATAGGAGCGATGTAGAGGAAAACAATGCAATCCCACCACGGCATAAAAATTCAAATGAACAGGAGAGGGTGGGAAAGGTTTTGATGGGTTTTAATATTATTCCTTTAGTTCATCAAACTATAAACAATAAGTGCCGCATTTTTAATTTATCGATAAGTTTGCTCATTATTTACAACTGTGAATGTCCACATCACTTCAGCCTTGGACTTTGCGACCAACCGAAATAAACGTGATTTTCCTCATTTGCCTCGATCCATTTAAAAATCGTTAAGCTCGTTAATCTCGATTGTAGCCATACAGATTTTTTTAAATCATACCCCCTCCCCCATCCGTGCTGATTAATGAACGCCTACAAAATGGCTTCTTATTAACAAAATCGGACAAATTTACTTGTTGATTCGTTTTCTTCATGAACTACCATTTAAATAAAAGCTAATGTAATAAATCAAATCTCACGTATGGGACCAGGATATTGAAATGATCTCATGCTTATTTCATGTTGTGGAATTGATACCCACTTTAGCTCTAGTTACAGCAACATCTCGTCTCTAGACAGACATCCGGAACACACTATGAAAACAATGCTCTACAGAAATTAAAAGACACAGACAGGACAATCTTCAGATTTATTCTTGAAATTCCACGTAATTTATTGGAAAATCGGCAATCTAAATTGACACTCTGTAAATTTTCTATGATATGTAATGCCTAACCTGCTCTAACCCTTGAAATTAAAAAAAAATGTGTACTTTACCTGTCTCTATAAACTTCGAAAAAATAAATCCAAATTTAGAGCTACCGTTACAAACTTCATAAATATAGGTTTTAAAGTAATTGTTATATTTCGGTTTTAGTTCGATGTGCAATAAATTCGATGTCCGCCAAAACGAAAAGGATGCTAAATGTCGCGTTAAATTTTCCACGTCAGCCGAACGAGTCGAAATTTATGCAAGTCTGCATCGGGGGCAGAGTGCATTGGTAAACAGCCATTAAATATATTCGCCCCAGTGCCCCATTCCGATTCAAAACTCCAGGTATCGTAACCTTTAAATTTAACTGCACTGATATTATCTAACCGTAAGATTTATTTTCTACGGGACAAACCGGTGGACGCAGTAAAATTTTCGAGAGACAAGCCCGTTTTTAGGTATTTTCTGGCAATAAAAGTAAAGGTGACATTGGCGGCGTTTATTTTTAATTGCAGCGGGTGGCGAAAAAAAAAACTTGAGAATGAACGTAAACGGGAAATGCCACGCCGCCAAAACGTTGATAGAAGGGTAATTTTTTGTGTATCGAGGATGTGGTCAACCTTGACCGATATTTTTATGCACCATTTCTGAGAAGTGCAAGGTGCAGGAAATTCCAAACGGTAAAAAAAAGTCTAGTGGGATACGTCTTCCACGAATGCGGTCTGGCCGGACCCAAAACAGTTCTTTTTTGTTATGCTAATTTATAATTTTAGATTCTATAATTAGCTCGGTTGTTTATACGTAAAATGATGAATCGTATTGGGTTCCTTTTTAATTTTCAATTTTCGCGCGATCTATCAAACTGACTATTTACCCTCTCCGAATAATGAAGACCGAACCCTTTCATGTGAGAACAACAACTGCTTTAATCAGAAGGCGTCTGGAGAGATTCGCTTAGAAATTCCGAGCAGACGGCGAATGCAGCTACTGAATTTCTAATTAATGAATTAATTAAGTGTGTGTGTTTACTTACGGGTGCAGTGGTCGGTGTATGCCCGGCGTCGTGCGGGTCGGCCGCCGTGCCCCCGCGATAGTGGCTCAGCACGCACGTGACGAGTCCCAGCGCCACCGTCAACACCACCGCAGACACCACTAAAACCAGGATGGCGGATTCGGTGCTAACTGCAAAAAAGAAAAAGACACTATTTCACAAAAGATCAATTACATATTCCTCGAAGTACCCCAAACTCTCATTACTTGCAAGTTCGCATGTCTGACATTGAGCTCTTGTAGGGTCAGTGAGGAAAAAAATAAAATTCAGATTTTATTTTGTCTGGCCCGGGCAACTTTGTGTTATATGCAAATACCTGGTATTCTTTTATAACGAAAAAAAAGTTAAAGGAAAAGTAAAAAGACCGGGGAGACGTGAAACCATGAGAGTGCATTTACGATATGCATTCGAAATACCGACACACAACGTACTACATGACGTAGTATTTTTTTTTAAATTTGTATGCCGTGCCGTACATGTTCAATTCGAATCGAAGCCTTTTTAGCTTATTTGGATGGAGAGAGTACAATATCTGTTTTTAAAATTCGCTTCTTCAACCGCACTTGTATGCAACCTTTAATCATAAAATGAAGGGCGCATTTTCCGTTACAGATATTTTCTGTTACCAAAATTTCTGTGTTACCAGCTACAGTTATTAATTAAATTTTTGAATTTGAATAATAATAATAATAAAGGAAAGAATTCTGTTTTATGAAAAATGTCTGATTTTTTTAGACACACCTCGTATGATATGACACATTTCATTTATATGAGGAGTAGAACAATTTATTGTTACCAATTGTAGAAAATTGACAAATGTCGAAGGGAGATACATTATTACAGCCTAGGGCCGAAAGTTCGCGAATCCGCCCTGATCGCGTATTCGCTTTTTCATAACACGCTCTTGTTTTCTTTAGATCACAATTCTGCTTCACTTTACCGCGAGCCTTCCGAAGATGAAATCTGAAAGCGAATCTTAAGTTGATCCTACTGGGGAATGAATGTACAAGGATCAAATTTATGGACGAAGTGAAGTGGAGGGTGGGAGGGGTGAATTTAATTCTTTGGGGGCGAATATACTGTTGTGTAAACAACCTCAAGTAGACGTTATTTAGGCTGAAATAATACCGAAGATAAGAACAGGCCACCCTTACATGGGAATGTTTTAAGTTAATTTAAATCTGTATAGGATTTCTTTATCAATAAGCCCAGCATTGGTTTGTCACACATTTAAAATTGAAAAATCGTCACCTTATGAAGACTTCGAAACACCGGCTGACTACCGAAAAAAGGTATTTGAAATATAAACGTAACGGACTGTTACGTACGCTCATCCTTGTTAAGTGCAGACCATTTCGGTAACGGTCGACGAAATGCGAGCACTTCCTAATCAACTTTGTACATGCACCATCGTGTATCGAAATCAACTAACTTTTTTAATAAAGTGCCTTTCTCAAACATCCGCCAAATGCCAAATTCTCATACTGTCTGTAGCGTTATTTTTCCTTTTAGAATTGTTTGTAATAGTTTAATTTCTGTTTGAATGTTGTCGTTTGTGTAAATTTGTTTATTTAAATTGTAAAACTCGAACACAACAAAAGCCGCGGAAGCAACAACTAAATTCTCTGGACGACCGCTATCCATAATGGCAGTCACGTCACTGTCTAGTCATTCATTTGTACAAAGTATACAAATGTTCGCCCCAAATATTCGCCCTCGCGTACTTGTACAATGTACACGTCGTGTGAGTGCCCTGCTTGCCATCGCAACTCGCCAAGCTCGTATACTTCCCAAGTACGCAAATAATTGTGTATTCGCCAAGTACACGAGTCGTCTGAGCCCGCTTTAGAATGTAAGAAAAATCTGCCCGTTTTGCGATAAGGACGTTCTTATCGCGTGATTTCAAGACGCACGTGTGTTTGGTGTTGATAACAAAGGATGCAGGTGCATGATTTCTTTTGCGGGTAATTTTTTTATAAAAAAAAAGGAACATTTCAAGCGAACGGCCACGCGCCTGGTCGAGGTCGTCTGTAGCAAAATGCTCTGGTGGGTCGGTCTCGGGAGCCTCGGGTATAACCTCAACAGGATAAACCGCAGCTACAGGAATTTAACGGCAAAGCAAAAATTTCGGTACTTACAAAACGTAGCTTGCGAAGATGCAAAAGTAAAAGATCCAAATTCATAGGGTGTTTTCTATTTATCTAAACTTTCATTTGAGTAGAAACAAACTAGAATATGTTCGATATGTTTAAACAAATTAAACTGTTTTTTAAATAATTACTCCTTTCCCCGACATCGGAAGAATATGGGGCAGAAGTCAAACTTCACGATTTTTAAGAGCGCTTCTTTTGACATAAGGCCCAGCTCAATCTGACGGGTTTTCTATAATTGGCTTAAATGCCAATCCTTAATTGCACTTATCCAATTGGTCGGAATGAAATCTCCAAATTCGGCAGTCCATGCGTTGATATTTCCCTTGAACTGCACAATCTCGCCGGTTTCAATCCTGTATTTTTTACAAACCTAAAATCGATAATTAACGGACCTAAAAGTTAATAAGATTGATTCTTTCTCTTCTTCCCTGGCGGCTTTAACCACGATTAAAATGTTCTTTGAAGAACGGTTGCAAAAATGAATAAATTCGCTACTTACGAGCGTTATCGGCGGCAAGACAACCAATTAAACAAAATGAAAACACACAAAGCTCCCTCGTCTCCTAGTGCAAATAAGTAAATTCAGGAACTACTTGATAACGAAGCGCGCAACTTAAAACGCTTCTACTGGGTGTTCAGCAAAGCTGGCCGACTCCGCAAATGTATGTTTTGTATCTTTGTTTATTTGTGTCGACCACCTGCGTGTGGGGTAAATATAACGGGCTTGTACCATTCTTTATTTTAGGTTTGTTTTGATGATTATTGCGTATGTTTTCGGTAGATATACATTTTTTGTGGTCAATTAATTAGTTAGGTATGTGTATTTGAATCCATTGTACGACCCAGATAGAATTCTCATTTTTCATCTCAAATTTTTCTACTTGTGCCCTACATCTACATCTCAGGTGGTAAACATAATTTGCGTAAACGATTCATTGGAAGCTGATACTGAGTCTTAATTTGGATTATTAAAATTTTGCTTTGTAGCGAATATAGTCGTGTAGTTAACCGCACACCATTGCACTCAGCATTATTTATTTGGCGCCCAACATGGGGCCAAAGCAATACAAAATTTAAATCGATTATTTAGAGATAGGAATAACCTCGGGAATAACGTAGTTCAGGCTGATTCTGGATGTCACGTTATCAAGAATAACATTTTTCGGTATGTACAGGGTGAGTCAACGATTACGCGGAGTAACTTAATGCTTTGAAGATAAAATTTTTCGATGGAGTGTGTATTATGATATGGTTGAATATTCTCCACATTTTAAAGATATTTGGAATTATACAGGGTGTAAGAAAAATTGGGCATTTGCAAGCGTCAGTATATTGTCAAAATTATTACTTAATTTTTGATTCCAGGTTTTATATCGTTTATTCTGGGTTAAGTAAAAGTCAAATAAATACATCTACTACAAAACATTAAAAAAATAGCTTACAGGGTTTGTTGATGAAGGACTCCATAGTGTTTGAGTGAATGTTTAATAGAAAAATGAAGTAAAATTGCGACTCAACTTTACAGGGTGTTTTTTTGGTAGGTCCAAAGCTGCAAAACTTCATATTAAAAAATCTCACTTTTTTTTAATGGAACACCCTGTATATTTTTCTGTCATCTTTTAGCTCCTCCAAAAACCTTCAACTTTTGATAATAATGTCCTATACCCATCTCTGGTATTTTTCAAAATATCTTGGTTTTTCTGATTTAATATTCTAATCTTAAATAAGTTATATGTAATTTACATAATAACGAGGTGGCCATCCAAAAAAAGGCCAGAGGTCGGGTGTTCGAACCAGGGCTGAGGTTAGAATTTTTCATCTATGGCAGAGATGGGAGTTTCCTTAGCTCAGTTTTGGGCATTCTGTCGGCTATTACGAGTTAGTTCTAATTCGTAAGGTAAATACGTGGGTAGTATAGAAATAGAACAACTTACGACCTTCTGCAGGGGCACCTCTAAAAAGCATTATGCGGGTCACCCTGTAATTGCAGGGTGGAAGCCTGTTGAGGGGCCAGAACAAGGACAATAAATAAATAAATATTTGTAAATGTATAGTGGGTTGGGTTGGTAGGGCTGCCTTGGCTGAAACTCCACCCACTCAAAAATAAAGCAAAAAAAATAAGTATCGCGGTCGTAAACTTTAAAAATTGTACTTGACTTTTGTTTAAATAAATTCGTTTAACATTTGTTTAAAACCGTGACAACAGCTAGAATTTTTCAACTTTTGGAATCTGTGTCTTGTTTTTTCTTTCATTATTAACGAACACCTCGCGAGTTTATAAATTTTGCGGTGTCTGTCCGTCTGTCCGCCCGTTAGCACGATATTTCAAAAACGAATGGATCGATTACGATGAAATTTTGCAGGTGGATTCTTTATCAAATTTGTAGATCGGAGTTCGTGAATTGGCAATATAGGCTAAAATATAAGGAAGGCCCTTTTGACATCTCCGTTAGTTATAAACCGAATTGCATGAAATTCAAAGCTAGCATAGCTTTAGCCATATTTAATACTTAATACCAAGCCAAGCCATACCCAGGAGCTCGTTTGCTATGTTTGCTGGCTATGCACTATGCCTATTCGGCCCCATTTTCTTCACTTATTTTGGTACCCGTGACTTGAATGTCGCAATATTAAACTTTCTGATGTTATTATGTTTTCGTCTCGGAATGACCAAACATTTGAATTTAGAGCTGATTTGATTTTCTCCAAGAGTAATTGGGTATGAAAAATTCATCGCCACGAAAGTGGGTAGATACTTTTCGCCACATTTTAAAGGTCTACTTCCATCACGAATCTCGTACGTTTGTACAAATCTAATTTAAAATTGAAGCCGGGCCTAACGAGAAATTCCCCATCCGCAGTAAAATTCGGCGCCTCGCATTTAAATTCATCCTTTCACCGTCGACGAGAGCGAGCTCGAAAAAAAAATAGATTAGCAATCAGGTGACTCACCGGCGAGGTGTAATGCAATAAATTTC